CATGCGATGGCGTGTGGTGTGAAAAACTTAATCAGTTGCTATTGTTTTACACGGGACGTTACTTGTAGTGTGAGATTTGATATTGTTTCTGTGACGTTCACGGTAAATTCAACACAATGCACACTTTTTAGGTCGGGCAGACCGGATTACTAGACAGCGGACGTGGTGCAACTGGTCGGATGGTCGATGTATTCAGTGTGAATATTGGACTTGGGGCCGATCAATGCGGTCGGTGTTCGGAGTAGACAGTGGTCGGATTTCACAGGTTGTTTTAACATAGGAGTCTATGGAGAAATTTCGGGACTACATAAATCGGTCGGTTCTGACAGTAGGTCGGTTTATCCAGGGGTCGGTTTTGACAGGTTTTACTGTATATGCATATATTTCAAGTTTCATGAAATCTTTCAAACAAAATGTTGTTGTATTCTTGGGTTAGTGAAAGAGAAATGTGTATTTTGGACAAAAAACAACTTGCTTATTCATTGTGATTTAAAACACTCTTGTGTTCCCTTCAGGCAAATATAACAGGCATGCAATGTAATATTGCTGTGAAATTACAAACACTGCAATGATTCTATGCTATGAAGAATTCTAAAATAATATGAATTGATTATGTAAATTAATTACATAAAACTAGCCTTGAGTCCAGTCTGGTCAGAACACAGCTGTAACTTTTGTAATTAATCCCTGTCTGCTTTATTTTATATCACTATTAAGTTTTCACTAGAAACAGTTATTTACCAATATTTATGATAACAATTATTTTGTGCTATGACCACCAAACAATTTAAGATTTAAAAAACTAATTATTATTTTTTGCTGTCTAAATAAAATTATTAGCTGGTGAACTGAAACCGCTACCGGTAATACTTGCCCCTTAACCACAATGTACTAAGGTAACATTGTTGCAGAAACCATTCTTAATGTCATAGAGCTAAATAATAATTGTGGGCACGTAAAATGCAGAACGAGTTCAATATGATGACATGCTTGGTCTAATTGAACTATTATGTATATTAAATCTTAGGGGCCTAACCCAGGAGCACTTGAATTCATTCCTGGTAGCAAGAATGTGTCTGGAGGAAGCAGTGAGTTCCTACCAGGTGTTAGTGAGTTCATACCACGGTCCAAATTATCATCAAATACTAGTACCAGCAGTTCTGTCTTTTCACCTATGGCATCTAGTCATCTTAGCACAGGTAGGGGGTATCAAGAATCCATGTGTAAGTATATGTCACTTTGAAAGTCTTCTATCTCTACTTTTCTTATTTCTTCTTCATGTCTTTACTCTGTACTTACCACCCTCAGAAATTTCACAAGATTCTAAACTAAGAGATCTGGTGTATGATGCCAGTCATAGGCATTTGCGCAATATTATCTTTTGAGTTACATCATGATTATTCATAAATTGATTATTATGTAGATCTTGTACGTAAGGATCACCTGCCACAATTTCATTGTGCAAATTTTTGGAGAAGAAATTCTGAAAAGTCAACACACACACGACTGTACTGCATTTATGCAGTGCATAATAAACATTTGAAGACATTTATAGCAAAATTCATTTGAAAACAAGGGCATGGTTCCCTTTCTCATTAACAATTCATGCGGGATTGTGAGGGGTTTATTCTATACTAAAGAGGTATATATTGATGTATGTAATAGTGAACATTGGAATAAATGTATTTATTAGTTGTCACTCAGTTCTGTTTTGTACACCAACTTTTACATTGAATAAACTAATAGTATTTTGGCAAAATACTACATATTTTAACTAACCTGAGACTTAAGTGCCGTGACTTGCTTAGAATTATATACAAAGATTGACAATGAACAAGTAAAGGGAAAAAAAAAACACTTCCTGCATTTGTTTTGAATCTCATTGGCCAACTGTTCCTACTTGACAAAACTGAACAAATGCATCAAGTCAAAAAGGACTTTTGAGATTTTAATCCCAAACTTGTTTTTCAGCCGTGAAAATAATTGCAGCACTACAAGGATATCAGAATATGATTACTAATACATTTCACATGTATATGTTACATACATACACGCACTTTGAACTGAAAAAAGTGTTACAAATCATTAACCCCCTCCCATTCAAATTTAGTTTTAGTTCGTTCAAAATGTAAATACATGTATCATAAAGTCTACCTTATACTTCATGTGTTGTATTGAGATGAATATGTAAATAAAGTGATTGGGAAAGATATTACAGCTGAACACTGAATGATATTTCACTATTACATTTATGTTGTGCATATACATGTATATATATATGTACTGTAAAACATATAGAACAACAATCTTAACAACCTCTTTGTGAGGATATATTTACCTTTAAATTAGTGACATCTTTAATTTATAAAAATTAGCTAAAATTACATGCTAGCCAAAAAGACTTGTTTAGCAGTATGCAAGAACATTTTCTACTTGGATATGGTTGATACATAACACTATATGTAGAAGAGTATGTTATTTAGTGTTGTAGACAGTGCATGTGTGTAGACACTCAAACAGACACAATATCCATTTCTTTTCTTCTTAGATTTAATATTTGTTTGCAGGGCTGGCTTGAACTTTGGTGTTCTGAGGACACCTCATTTTCAGTGACAACATTTTTAAATATGCCTTTCATGATATGAAGGGAAATATTTGACTATTTTGACAGGCATTATTTCATTCAGGTGGGGCATGTCAGCAATCACAATGAATAACGAATCATGAGATTGTATTTATCAATGTGTGAACATAACGTTGTAGGGTATTTGCTAAAAGTCAATATGTTTTTCTAGGGTCCAACTCTATGTCGTCTGGACCATCGCCAATGCATTCCCCAAAGCTCACACCGACTGGCTCACCCATAATGATGCGGCATAGGAACAGATCACCTACTCCAGCAGCCTTGGATCTCGGCTCTCCAGGAACGCCTGCACAGCCCCCGATTGGTGGTAAGCAAGACCCCATGGTTAGCAATCATATTCAAGAAAACATTGGTGGAACGACCTATTTCTACACTCAAGAACAAATGCAAGCTGCTCAACCCACTGGGGTAAGTCTCATTAACATATGGATAGATGCAACATCCAATGACTTCTCCTGTATGCAGCTTGTTGTAACCCGATTTACATCATCAATATTGTGCCCCTAAAATCCGTGTTCCATGACATGACGAGAATTGCCCTGCTTCACAAGGTTATCAAGCTGTTCTAATGACAAATCATTGCTCTCATCTGACCCTTCAAAACAATAGTTTAGTTTATTGGTCTGTCTGATGTGTGACATCATGAAAAAGTATTGTTAGAGCATGTATGTGACACTGCATCAGCAACTCATTTCATTGGTTGTAACTTGTCCTCAGATTGCTGTTGTCTTCAACACATTGAAATAGTGTTGATTTCCAGAGCTACCTTATGTGAAAAACTAGTGCTTTCATTTGTTCATGAGATGGTTGTTCACACTGCACACTAAAACAGAGATCCAACTTTTGAAACAATGTGAAAATTATGTCTGGTTTTATAGTTAACACAAGAGTACAGAATGTTTCTGTACCTTAATGTATTTATCATAAAAGTTCAATGAATACTCAAATTCAGTTGTTTGTTTCAGGTGTACCCTTCTTTTCACGTATATCCGTCAGAACCACCGTCTGTTAGTTACATGACACCTAAACCCAATGCACCATCATTCTTTCTCAGTGATGAGTTGAGAATAGATATCATCCATAGACATTTACAAACAATGACTACAGTGGATTTGGCTCAATATCCAGGTAAGATCTTGCTACATATAACTTTGCTTAAAGCCGGGGAGTTGTCACCTACGCATGTGCCAGGTGGCCATAGCTTGTCATTGTTTACAAACAAGCGTCTACCCATGAGCGTTTGCATTCTTAGTGTGTGTTATCATCGCTTGGTACTCAATTTGCGTGTGCGCAGGTGACGACCCCCTAACTTTAATTATTCAATTTAAAAGTCAACATTTTGTGAAATAATTTGAAATTGTGCTAAATTGAATTTTTTTTTTATCCTGGATCCAGCTTGTTTGTGAAACAAGGTTTATACTGTTTATACACGTCTGTCATTTGTCTGTCTGTCCATGGATGACTTCTTAAAAACTGCTTTACTGGTTTGACTTGATCTTTGGTTTGCATATGATTTTATGTGTACTTGTCTTCTGCTTTAAAGTCATTAGGTACACTTTACTCTTCATAGGTCTTTCTTTGATGATTTCTGATAGGGATTGAGTCAGCATATTTGAGGAGTGATTCCTGCTCTTTCAGAATAATTGATGTTCTGATTGGATCTAAACTTAGACCAAAATAAGTGTATCTCATTATTGTAAGTCTGGGATGCCCAAATTACGGGTTAATTCATCTTTAAAATGCCAAATCTATTTTTCAAACAAATTTGCATCTATTGCTTATTAGTTATTCACATTCTTGTTTTGTTTTTTAGACTTGCCAACTGAAGTAGACAACTATCATACTCTATGTCCATTGGAACCTATTCCTACCAGTCCGTTAGAGAAGTCCAGTACGTTTGGCTATGTTACATCTTGTTATAAAGCTGTGAACAGTAAAGACGGCAAGACATATTGCCTCCGGAGAATACATGGTAAGTATAAAATATATAGATTTGTGGATCCTGCAGTGCATTTCAATCAATTTTGGACAACTGTCTCCATCTTATTTGTATGAATATTGCAGAAATTAAAAAAATCTTATAACATCTATGCATGAACAAAAATTTGAGCTTATTTGTTTTTTTTTCTTTAGTATGTTCCCAGTATGTAAATGCATTGATTATTCACTGGTTTTTAATTTTGTTGTTTTTGTTGATAAGTAAAATTCTCTAAATTAAATCCATGTGAACATGTTAAATCAAAATATAACTCATTGTTTCCCTGCTAAGTTTGTAAAACCCAGTGAAATTGTTCAAAATATTGAAATACCAATATTGAAATTAATAAATGGTTTTACAAGTACAAGTAATGTGTTTTCAATTACTGGCACCACAGCATGTTTTTCCTTACACAAAATTGACCTAAGCATTGTTGAGAACTTGAGAAATAACGTGAAAAATGATATAATCACTATCTATACTCATTTATGTTTAGGTTTTCGTTTAGTGAACACCAATTGTATGGCATTAGTTGATATGTGGAAGAAGATTCAACATTCCAATATAGTAACATTGAGAGAAGTTTTCACTACCAAGGCCTTTGGAGATCTGTGTAAGTTTTCATTACATTCAATATACTTGTGCGATAACTTGTTGCTATCATGGCATTGCACTGACCCTTGTCTTAAAGATCCTGATGAAGATTTTTCCTAAATGGTGACAATTTATAACTAATACAGCAGCTATAGCTAATCACAGATTTTGATATACTGCTTTCAAAATCGGTCATCACATGGAATGTATCATATGTGTAGAAAAGAAAGTACACACAATCTAACTCACATGTTCAAATAAAAAAACTCAGCTTTTCAGTATAATACAAACACACTTTTAGCTTTAAAGTAACAATCTAAAAAACACTATAGGGGGCCTGTCATCAGCTATAAAAGGCAGAACCATCTCCAGCACACAAATTTCCTTGACCTGCAGGTGAAAAAAACAAAACACTGATAATAGGACAACTGTCACACTAATGACTTCCATGTATATTACAGGTTTTCTCAATAATGTGTTTGTATGTTCTCTACAGCTCTAGTGTTTGCCCATGACTTCCATGCAGGAGCTGAAACCTTGATGTCTAGACACTTCAGTAATCCCAACATGATGGGTAAAGATCACCATGTGAAAAACAAATATAAACAAGGTCAGTCAATATGTTAGGTTATTGTTGTGTCCGAGCATACCTCCTTAACATGAACTGAGAGGTTAAAAACTGTGCTAAGGATCTGGACAAGGTCTTAAAACGGGTCTGATTTAGCTCATACTTACCATTTCTTAGCCCATACTAAGCCTTTTGAATGAAGTGTGCATAACTGCTTAGGTCGGGCTTATATAAATTGCAAAGGTGGTCAAAATTAGTAATATTTTAATTTTTCAGTGTACAACAAATGCAGGTTTTTGGTTTATATTCTATTGGCCTTGAATGTATATATTTATTTGATGGGTTAATTTACTGTCACTGTTTGACCTTTTGATTCATATCAAAGAGTCAGCTTTACTATTTTAAGACACGTCTTATTTCACAACCTAGTCTTTGTGTTGTACAATTTTGCAATGCTGGAATCATACTCAACTCATAGAAATTAAAGTGTGTTCAATTTTTGATGCCAGTTTTAAAGAGCAGTTTGAAGGTACCAGTAGCCTGCTATAAACAAATTGCTGTGTCCCATTTGTGTTCTACAAAATGTGTAGGTTTTAGCAAATTTTTCAAATATTTTCAGGTATCAAAAGTCTTCGACAACATGCTGGCCTGTTACCGGAAAGTGTCATCTGGACATATGTGGTGCAGTTAAGTTCAGCTTTAAGAACAATCCATGCAGCTGGTCTAGCTTGCCGTGTCATGGACCCAACTAAAATACTTCTGATGAGTAAATCACGGTTGCGAGTCAACTGTGTTGGTATTTTTGATGTTTTAACATTTGATAACAATCAGTCCAATCCACTGGCTATGATGCCTCATTATCAGGTGAGTGTACTTTCTCACCAAACTTGTCTTCTATGCAAACTTATAGTTCATTGGTTACACAGATGTATCACCTAACTCTCTGGCAAATCAGAGAGCACTTTGTTTGCTAGGTCTGATAGACAAGCTTATCAAATAGTAGAATTTGTTCTGCAAACTTTATTCTGTGTTTCTAATGTGTGTTTTTTTCTGTGTCATCAACCTACAACTTTTTCATTTGCTATAGGCTACAGCATGTAAAGACACAATGTTTAAGGACTGTAAATATTTTGCACATGGGTTTAGTACTGATCATTTTGTTTCATTATTCTGTCCAGCTCTGAACCCTTTGGAATGTAACCACTTTTCAGCCATTCTGAGACTCTTCTCCCTGTTAAACACATTCATTTATGTATTGTTAAAAGACTCCACTGGTTTCTAATGTTTTAAATTTATAATTTGTTTTCAGCAAGAAGATCTGGTATCATTGGGCAAAGTTGTTTTAGCACTTGCATGTCACTCAGTACTTGGGATACAGAGAGAAAATATCCAGGCTTCAATGGAGTTAGTAGCTGTCAACTACTCAGAAGATTTGAAAAATCTGATATTGTAAGTGAATCCCATTACCTTCTCTGTATTGGGTATACAAAAAAAATGTTCTTCTCACTGTTTTTGGCCTAACCAAAGTTGCACAATTTGAAATAAGAAAAAAAGAATGTAATGTCTGTGATTAGGGTTTGTAAAAGTTTGTTATATTTTCAGCCAATGATGGTGTATGTTTATGCTCAGATTTTAGTTGGAATAACTTATTTTTCGCTTTTTGCGAGATCTTGCAAGACTGTTAAATTGGCCTAGCAACTGGTTGCTAGTCGCATAATACAGGTCAAGCTTTGATTAAAGATGGCGCCAAATCATAAGTGTGTTAGTGTCGTGTGTTAAATTTCTGAGTGATTTCTTGCATCTGTTTGATGTTTTTGACTTTGGATGACTTTGATTGAATGACAGTGCCACATCACAAAGATTTGCTCTGTAAATTCAGCATAAAAAAAGAATATGTTTCTTGCAATCGCTATCGCTGTACATGATTGGAATTGGAAGACCTTAAAACAACATTGATCCAACTATGACCAGAAGAACTTGGTTCTGTGATTTGAATATATGCAGTCGCTGGTATTGGGTCTAAATGCAACTACGTAAGACCTTTTCCTTCCACAAAGTGCAGGGAACAACCGTACGTGTCCCGGGTGACGAGAACAGGC